ATTAATACACTATTAAATTACTACACTGTTTACCTGTACATTCTCCAAAAAAATTTTATTTTCATTTTTTCCTCTGTATGGATGTGTTTGCCAAAAATACAGTATTTGCTAAATAATAAAACAATGTTTTAATTTTATTTCGCCCTCCTGTGACGATCTTCAAAAAAATATGTTTGCGAAGCAAGGCGTAAAAAAAATCTTGCCTAATAGCCAATTAGATAATGACAGTGCCTAACTGTGGCTATGGTACAGTAGGAAGATTAAAAGTGTTTTTAGACGTCAATCATAAATAACTATATTAGAAGGATTTGAAATCCGAACACTAAGTATTGGTATTATAGAATGCACAGTAAAAATAAAACTAATAATAATAACAAACACAAAATAACAATAATTATTATTTATTTACTTTAAAAATATTTTTGGGTGGTCCATGTGCTTAAAACTGATCAATAAGGATCCTTTAAACATACAAGATAAGAAAATGCAGATAAAAATTCAGCATATACTAAATAAAATTAAATTCGGTAGTATCTAACAAAATGTTAAGTCATATTGACCTGATTTTTTATTCAGACAGCGATGAAGGTGAATTTTTAGATGTGCGGGACTTAGACGTGCCTGTTAGCGATGATGACGGTGGGGCTTCAAGCAGTTCTGATGGCGGAGATATTCTTGATGAAGATGAGCCTAGGCCTAGAAATGTGAGGGTAGTCGACGCTTTTGAATGGAAAGATTGCGCTTATAGTTATGGATGGTTGGGTAAATAAATTATATAACTGTGTGGAATAGGAATGTTTTATATTTGTTTTTCATTTTTTTTGGCTATAATTTATTTTTTTTCGGTTTTTGCTGACGAATTTATATGTAGCATTTTTCTGTCATTTCTATTATATTATATATATATTATATTATATTATATTATGAAAAATAATTCCCAAAAATATAAATTATACATCAAATGAAAGCTTATTCTATAAGCTTTCTTTGTTTTTAGAAACATTTTTCTGTATAATTTACAGAAAGTTCCCAAAAATCCACCAGAACGACGTATACTCAAAAAAAGCAAAAAACCTTGTTACACTGCAAAAGAATCCGGTATTCAAGGGTTTGCACTACAAAAGAATCCGGTATCCAGAGGGTTAATATCTTTTTGCACGTTAAAAGCCGTCGTAAAACAAGACTGTAAGTAGAAATTTCCCACGCAAGGTTGATTTATTCCCATGAATAAATTCTAGTAAGTCCAAATGTGAGCAGACAGCCATCGTCTTCGCACGATCAAATTTCACACTCAATGTTATTGTGATGGCGTTATCTTCAGTGTGTACGCACAGAGCATGCCGGCTACCAGTGAACAGATAAGTCAGTTTCTAAAAATAAAGTGTATGCGCGGGTGCGGTATAAACAAAGGTAGGGTTGACTGAAGTTCTTTGCGTATTGTGGTAGACATGGAGCCAGACTATTTTATCATCGTGGAATCTTTCCTTCACGGTTTTATCAAGACTACTGAATTTCAAGTAAATGGTTTAACGATTATAATTGAGAATCAACATGGATGGAATCAACATGCTATGATAGAGTATCAAATTATTCTTATAACTTCAATTTTCTTATTGTTAAACCATAAAGACAGTTTTTATTGTTAAAAATTAAAAACATTTTTCTACAAATAAAATCAAAATATTATCATTTTCGCACCTAAATGATAATCGCAAGCAGTAAATTTTTCATTGATTGACATCCTACACAGAACTCTGGCACTATCATGTTGCAATGCGTGTTGCAATTGCATGTTATCATTGCATTATTAGACACTCGTCAATTCGCTGCAAGGGCAAAAATAAGACCAAATGAGATGTAATCACTGGACGTACGCTGGGGTCGCGCAATATCCAAGAAAAAGCTGGTTCGGACATACTGTACATCAATGCATCTGATTTACGATGTATTTCAAGCTGTGAACTCGAACTTCAAAGAATTTTTAGGCCTTGAAAGACAATGTTCATTACAAAATAATTTATTACTGCACTTAACTCTTCAAATTATTGGGTGGGATGATACTAGAATTCCTCATTTTGTTTGAAAAATGACGCCAAAGTCAGGGGTCGGCTTATACCCGAGGGTGGGGTTATGGCCGCATCAGTACGGAAATGACTAAAAATCAAAATGTTCCAGGGAAAATAGCCCCTGGACCCCACAATACAGTACTGTACTGTAGTAAAGGCAACACCCCAAAACCATCCTCTTTTAACCATACAGTAAATTCCATCCTCTTTGAATTTTAGGTTTTTGTTTATAATCGCAGCACCCTGTCAAAAAAAATTATGAATCAGCCACTGGTAGAAAATATCCTACATGAAATTTTAAGTTTGGTAACATATTTCTAATTTCACATATTACTGCAAGAACAGAGAAAATTTTATTTCCTCCATGGTAATAATACATCCCTAATGATGTCATGCAGATGTGATATAAGTCGTGTCAAACTCAAAGGTGAGTCATGAATATTCATGACCCAATTGTTTATGCTGTTTGATGTAAGCAAAATTTAAAATAAAAACAAACATTAATCTTCAATAATAATAAAATATGGTATTATTTAACGACAATTATAACAATAAATAACAAGTATTATATTAAAATAACAACAATACCACAATAAAATATTATAGTTATAAACAAAAATTACTTTATAACAAGAAGGAAGAAAAAAACATTAAATAATAAACATTAATAAATAGTACAACACAAAATTCACTAACAAAAATAACTTGCCAAACCCTGAAACCTATTCAGAAGTACTGTACAGGGATGGTGTCTGGCAGGGGATAGTTTATTACCCGATTGTACATTTTTACAGTACCTAGTTATTATCTCTGTTATTTAAAAGCGGACCCAATTGCATTTCTATATAAGATGTTTTTACAAATGATAATATGAATATTTAATACTTTATAACAATATAGAAAATAAAAGATTTCAGTTTTGGCACAACATAAATTAATAATAAGCTACAGTTTGTTTTGATGTTTTGAGAAAACTACCACGTAAAAACAGTTACCAGTCCAAAGAGTAGCAATTTAGGTAGGTCCTTGTTTGAGTGACTAATAGAACTTAAACAGAATTAGAACCAATTTATCAAATATCAAACCAGAATAATTACAAACATAATCTCAAGTAAATTTTTTCTGACCTAAATAAAAAGTTTTTCTATTTGTAATTTTGCTATACACTATTTTATCAAGTCTTTTTTGAAGCAGCGCCACCAACGTCCTGCAACTTTCCACTGGGGAACATCCAGGAACCTAGTCTGAGCAAATTTCGGTTTTTTTTCCAGACACGTACCTTGACGACTTTGACAACCAAAAATCACTACAGTTTTATGCGCCCCTAATTTTTTGTTGTTTTCGTTTTGGCATTTTGTTTTCAAAGACAAGGCTAGGCCTAGACTAACTGACTACAAGAAAGTCATGTACCGGTCACAGCACAGATAAACACTGGTAAGTATGTAGCGCCAAATGCCTAGGCCTCTGGAATTCCCCCAGTGGTAGTCTATTTATTGTACATATTCTGCACAGAAATTACAACTCAGAAAATGCCCAGAGGGGTGCCAAGAAGACGGCAGGGACTGAGATCCCAACACAAGATGTGGGTATCCTCTAAACCCCCTGGCCAAACAAACCTACAATAAATAACAATATAGCAGAGTTGCCAGGTTGTCAGATATTTTTATTTAAAACTTGGCGAAAATGGTGTGTATATATTATTACATTATAAAAACTGCCTTTATACTTTTTAAAACTGTATTCAACATTTAAAGCTTAATTGCAACACCAAGTCACCAAGTCTAAATCAGGATCTATGCTATTCTGCACACTATAATTGTAGGCTTGGATTAGGCTTTAATTTTGACATTATTTTGACTTTTTTGTCACATCTAGACTCATCTTCTTCATCTGACATCATCTTCATCATCACCACCATTAAATTATCATCACCATCATCATTATCCTTATCATCATCATCATCATCATCATCATCATCATTACCATATCATTTTTATTATCATCATTATCATCATCATCACCACCATTACATTGTCATCATCATTATCATTATTATTTTCATCGTTATCATTTTCATCATTATCATCATCGTCACACTACACAATTCAATTATTATTTGATATCAAGCACAAAAAAGTAGGCCTAGGCTATGCCCAGAATAGCCTATTCTATAGATTGGCTTGTTAATTATTAGAGAGATATGCCTTCTTTTTTTAGACGCATTACAACATTGATTTTCTAATAAAATTATTATTATAAATAATGTCATAAAAATGCATAGAATAAAATAATTAAATGCAAAAATATTAATCAATAAAATTAACAAAGTAACTATGCTTACGCCGAGATGTAGTGCATTAAGATAGCGAGAGTAATTTTTAAGGTTAAGGTAAAGCCAAGTCGACCAATCAGCGCGTTGGGATTTCAATCACTTCAACTTTAGCATACTAGCCACAGCCTAAAATTAAAGAAAGGCGAGGCTACACACTTTTTGATAGGACGAGAAGACTCAAGCAGGCCAGCCATTTAATATGATTTATGATCTAGGCCTAGCTAGGCTATGCCTAGCTGATGACATCCATTTTGAGGAGAGCCAATCCAGGCTACAAAACAGGATAAAACCGTGCGTCTAGGCCTCATTTTGACTCTTCCTATGAAGAGACCTGCCTAGGCCTCGCCTAAGACTAGACAAGCTGGCCTACCATTCATTAGTTAGGTCCCCCTACCCCAGCAGCTAGGCAGCCCCCCCCCTCCACCTCTTCTAGGCCCTAGGCCTAGCTAGGCCTACTCTACGCAGCTTGCCTGTCCTAACCAGTAAACCTGTCCTAGCCTAGGCCCTAAGCCTAAGCTAGGCCTGAATTTAATTTAAATGTATTTCTATTTATTTCAATCGTTTATAGGTGATGTACAATAAGTAATTTATTCATTGGTTACCTTAAAGTCTCCAGATTACGAAATTGCAGACATACCTAGGCTAAGGAAGCCTAGCATAACATTTTTCTACACACGAAATCGGTAATTACTTCCTATTCTCTGGCCATTGGTGGCTCGCCCGTATGCCATGACATCATTGTTTTTTTGACATGGTCACGGGTCACGACCTGGCCAATTTTGTCAATACGTTGGAATATTTATATCATTGAATTTAAGTTATTTTTTGTTATTATAATTTGTAAGATTTTGTAATTTCAAGTAAAATTAGTATCTTATCTTCCAAAGGTTTATATTATTTGTGTTTTACTTGCTAATTTCAACTTCCTGCCAGGAGCTCAATATTGCTACTAGCTGATTGGTCGGTTTATAAATTTGTATTCCGATTTTTCAACTTGACAAGTTTAGCAAAACAAAAGAAGGACGTTTAGTCCCAGAAGGAGTGGTATATTTTACTTAGTTTATGTGTTTCAGAGTAACCTTTTTCAATTTTTAAATCAGTATGGCAAGTGTAAGTAATCATTATGTTGCTGTATTTGTTAGTTATTGAAGTAAATTACTGATTGGTATTGCTTTACGTCAAGAAAATTAAGATATCTCTTCGCAGAGAGGTCACGATAGTTGACTTTTGCCCAGGGATAGCCTGGCCTAGGCCTCGCCTGCGCTAGTCTAGGCCTAGCCGCATAGCTAAGCCAAAGAAATAGGATTGGCCCCCGTATTGGCCCAAGCCTTGGCCTAAACCTAGCCTACATGTAGGCTAGTAGGAAGGGGATTTCTTTCTTCTTTTTGGTCTTTAATGGATGTATTATTCAACGACCATGTGGAGAAAACGAATTGTTTAGTGTTGGAATTCATGATTTTGTGTAAAAAATAGTTGAAAATTTAATTTAACCTCCTGCCTAGGCCTAGCCCTGTTTCAGTGTTATGTAATATTACGAACAGCTGAGACGAAAGTACATGAATACAAGACTCTCATATGATAGTAAGGCCTGCGGCGTGGGAAATATATCCTCTGCACAAAAATTTGGCCTAGAAATCTGTCCGTGCATTTACAGTATGGCATGAATTGATGAAGTCAAGTAATTTTCAACAGATAATAGACCTTAAAAATGTCACCATCATTAAGGCATTGCACCCACAAAATACCTCTGATATGATGACTAATGTCAATTTGTTTTATGTCAATATTTAAAAGCATTCATAAATAGTAAATTGTAAATAAATTTGAATTACTGATGAAATCTTACTTTCTTTTACCAGAACTCAAATGTTGAGAATTTGTCACCCCAAATAATAAGGCGTGTAGCCAAGGAGGTAACAGACTTGATGGCAGACCCACCGGAAGGCATCAAAGTTCTAGCGAGTGAAGAAGATATTACAGATATACAGGCTACAATTGAAGGTCCATGTACGTTAACTGGCTCTTTTAACGTTCCATTCCAGCACTTTATATTTTATTTGTCAGTGCTTACACTGTATGTTCCAGGCTTAATATATACCAGATTGTAAAGTGAGGCCTGCGCTGGGAATATATCCTCTGCGCAAAAATCTGGCCTAGAAATTTATCCACTCATTCGGAAAATAAGGGTTGAGTTTCGCACAGATTTTGCAGAAAATTAGGCTTTGACCTAATCTTAATATATAAATAATGTATTAATATACAGTAATTACAATTCTGCGCACCTATTTTCCTAGCAATTTTCCACGCAAATTGAAGCTGGTTTTTTTAGGTATCATCTGCGCAATTAAAAAAAATTTGAAGTATATTTAATATATAAGCGAGTTCATTAATGGCTTAAAAGTACCATTACCTGAATTCATAATTATTTGCATACATAAAAACTTAATAAATGCAATTATGGTTAATTCATCTTTGATTTACTTTCTAGCGGGTACACCATACGCAGGTGGTCAGTTTAGAATTAAACTCGTTCTTGGAAGAGATTTCCCGCAAGCTCCACCAAAAGGTTTTTTCGTCACCAAAGTTTTCCATCCCAACGTAGCAAGCAACGGGGAAATATGTGTCAACACATTGAAAAAGGATTGGAAAGCTGATTTGGGAATCAAACAGCTTTTATTGGTATGTTGCAACTGCCATACTAACAAAATAAACTTGTATTCATTCTGTTGAATTCTATTTATATCCTCTGTAAGGCGAGACTATTTTTTATACCTTGTTTTGAAAACTTATTTTTTTTAAAGGTCAGAAGAGGGGGGCGGAAATAAAAATAAAATTTTGGTTTTTCATTTAGTAAATAGTTTTGCAAAAACATCCAGATGGAGGACAGAATAAAAATAACATTTTATTGGTGAATGTAAACAGTGTAGTAATGGGATGGTTAAATGCTTTAAATTTATATAATTAGGAAGAAGTATACTACCTTATTTTTGGATATTTCAAGGCAGTGGCAGGTGTAATAAAAATATGAACTTTTTTTTTTCTAAAATTTCCTTTTTTTGTGGCGGCATGTGTGCTAAACTGCCTAAATTAAAATGTTATTTTTATTCAAAATCACCATTATTGGCTGGCGGCCATATTTGGATGTGATATGGCCAAATTTGGATATGATATGACATCATCATGCCCATATATGGGTAAATCGCATGCATTTCTCACATAAAATTTGATAGTGTGGACAAAGCTTACCCTATGAAAAAATCTTGGTTTCATCATTCTTTACAGACTGTGAAATGCCTACTGATCTATCCAAATCCTGAATCAGCTCTAAATGAAGAAGCAGGCAAACTATTATTAGAACAGTACGACGACTACTTCACACGTGCAAAGATGATGACTGAAATACACGCCTTCCCACCATCCAGATCTTCAAAAGAATACCGGACGAAGCAAGAAGGTAGTCATTCATCCAGCATGGAGGGACCCCTAGCTAAGAAACACGCCAGCGACAAAAAGGTTGCGGAGAAGAAGAAACGAGATAAAAAGAGGACACTGAAGCGGTTATGACCAAGTTTGTCGGAGAGATGTATATAATTTGTAAATGATGTGCTTTTCTTCATCAAGTGAAAAAAAGAGTAAAACTCAAATCTGATCTCAAAGATCAAAATATTTCTCTAGCAATTGAATTAGAATAATGTAATTTACTATCGGAAGAGGCATGTAATTGCAGATCACCAAGAGCGGAATCCATGTTTATTATATTAATTTCTTGGTTTATGTAACAAGAGTTGTAACTGATGTACAATTATTAACAAAAATGATAAGCGAGCCTCCACATCTTGTAATTATTGAACATGTATGCAGATCATTTACATGATGGATGATTAGATGCAGACTACAAATGATAAGATGTTGGTCATAGGTCAGATTTTTTTTACTCCATATTGATATTCTGATGGTTTGACTATGGAGGAGGGTGGAAGTGGGTTTATTGAAAAAAAATGCCGACCTCTTGACCCTTCCCTCATGTTTTAAATACAGTAGTGTACTATAGCATATAGCAGATCAATCTATCGATCATTGGATTTATAAGGTGTCATTCCAGTATTTTTCCCGTGTATTACAGTTGGAGTGACAGATGACTATAAACTTAGTTCTCAATAAAACATTTAAATCACCTACTGTGGTTTCTACCTTAGGATCCTGATTATGAACTTACCATTGTGTTAAGCAGGGCATTCACTGCGTCCTTACGACAGTTGTACAACCGTTGGCCGATAAATGAAACTCCGCTGCCTGTGAGCGCTAGACGACGTGACGTCGTTTGCTGATTGTTAATTAAAACAATCCCCCTGCGCGCACATGGCGTTTTGCGTTCTGCATAGAAATGCATCGGCCGACAGCTGTCAGGCGCAGTGGGTCGGCTTTAGAAATATGTCAATTCTTATGCTCTGTTGACACTATAAGTGTTATGTGACAGGTTTATGTGATTTGCCAAATATGAGCATGATGATGTCATATTACACCCATATATGGGCAAATCAAATGTATTTGACTTTATAGATTCGACGAAGCTTTACAAAATGCTGCAATGCTACATATTTGGGCAAAATAAACTCAACTGAAGATTTAGTTCATTTTTTTCAGAATTTCTAGATCGTTTCAAATCTGTGTTACGTAAAGTGTAAAGTTCAACTTAATTGCGTGACCTCTTTAACACCCAGTTAAACATTGTTATGTCAAAAGTCAAGTTATAATACTTCCTTGTCTTGAATGAGCCCTTGTGATTGGTTGTTAATCAGCCAACACCTTGTGTGAGTAGCTCATAGGCCACACTTAGGTCAGGGGTCAAAACTTGTTTCCTCAAACAAGGTACTTATCTATGTTGGTGTATGATAATATTAATGCCATGATTAGTTCTTGAATAATAATACTGCAGGAAGTGTCTGATTTCGTAATCCATGACCATATTCTCTGCACAAGATAGAATTGGTCCAAACCATGACCATAAATTCAGACGACACTAAGAACTTGTCAGTCTGCTTGTGAAGATGATTCTAGGTCTTGTCAATACGTTGCTCCCAACCCAATGATAGGTGCATGTGCACATATCATAATTGTCAATTATTATTACTGTACTGTACTAGTATATATTATTTTTTATTAATTTTGTTGGTAAAACTAAAAGAAGCACTGTAATGAATCATAAAGGTGTGTTTTGCTGCCTAGAAACTCCATGTAACCGAAATGATTACCTATTGTAATGTATTCAATCTTATGTCATTCATAAACCTGTATGTTTACAATACACACCATACCTCTGGAATACTATGCATTGTTCTAAAAATTAGGAAAAAGGATGTAAAATAAAATAATGACCCAATGATATTTCAGACACCATCTGACCTGATTTCTAATTTTTCTTGAATATATCAATGTTTTTACAATACTGTATTTACAAAAAACCAAAATATAAAACATGCATCCAATTTTGCATAAATAACTGTATTTCAACTTCCGTCGCCTTTCCTGGTTCTTATGAAGTCGTTATTTTCCAGGGTTGTATCATCAATGTGAGTTTTGATGATGTACATGATCAATCGACATGTTTATTGACTTTGGATAGGGGCATGCGCAGTTCAAACTACAAATTGGCTACTGAAGCTAGGCATACAATGCATTGTACTACAGTGGGCAAAAAAAAAAATCTTTCCACTCCCTGATAACGCTTAATGACGCGACACCCTCTGCAGATCACAGTGCGTGCGGTTGCCATTACAGAAGAGCGAGTTTTGAAAAATCCGTGCATACGTGTGTTGCTTGTCGACCATTGATAGTGTGTCCAGCTTTAGATTACCCTAATCGAAATTTCTACTAAATAGATACTGAATGTATTAAACTTTTAAACCATATTAATTCCATATTTTGTGATTTTCCTTTTTAAATTTTTAGTGTGTTACCCCCTTTATTCTTATTCATAATGTCATATAGCCCAGTTGTTTTGATTCTGTAGTTTGCATGATCAAAAAATGACCTATTGAATTATGAATGAAATTATTTTATTAAAATCCAAATGAATTGTTCGTATGTTTTGTATACTGTATGTACATGATGTTACACAATAAACATTGGTACAAATATTGATTTGGAATTTGTTTCCATTAATTAATTCATATCCGCAGATGTTTATATTTTTCCAATTGGACAAAGACCTTGATGTTAATGTTGCCAGACTGAGGGGGTGGGGGATATCCCTGACGATAGTGGGCGTGATCGGGTGTCGCTCAAAATCTCGGAACCCCCGGAAATTTTGCAGTTTCAAATCAAAGCCTTATATAATCGATTTTAAAGTTTTCCTATGTAAAAAAAAATACATATAATTATTTGTTTTGGCCGCCGACAAATTGGGTTTTTTTTCTCCAGGGCGGGGCCCTGGTGGTGATTCTAAAATATGGTGTTGATTAACATTCCAAAATAGGCAGGACACACTAAGTACATTAGAGTATACAGTATTTATTTACTATAATATGCTCTCCTGTCATTGGAATTACCATTTTACCGTGGAAATAAATTAGGTATTTTAACTTCTTTTAGGATATGTTAATTGGGTATACATGTTCTAAGGGATTTCATTATTTTGGTGCACTACATGAAAATGACAAATATGCATACTATACTGGACTAGAGAGTTTATGAAAAAACCTTTTTCAATCCGGTTTAATGAATATACAGTTTAATAATATTTGTGATATTAATATCACAGCAGCAAGCGCAAACACGCTAATAGCCATACGGATCTATAGATTTAATAAAAAATGAACAGATATTTAAAATTAATTATATATTCAGCTGAATTTAATGCTCAGAATATGCGACCTATGATGTCACCTGATATTACAACACTTCATTGGAGTGGTTAAATAAATAATAAAAATTTTCTTCATATTATTTATATTATATACATTTTATACATCGGGTGACAGTATAATTCTATTATACCACAAGCTCAAGCAAACTTAAGTTCAACAGCAACTCACACACTTTGGTAGACTTGCCACAAGTCTTTTATTTTTTATTATTTTTCTCATTCTGGACAGCGCCACTAACGAGAAAGTTAATTTAGAGGCGGAATAAAAAAAGAAATTAAGTATGGGACGCCAGTTAAATTAGGTATGGCGCACACTAAATGCAATAAAGAGTGATTAACTCAAAATTAGGGCCTGGAACCCAGGTTAACACTTTGGTTAAAACTCCTACATTCTATAGGAACCAAGTATTCTAATGTACGTTTGGCTTATATACATTCATATTAATTAAGATAAACACAATTTACAAAATATACAATATAATAGGTCAAAATCAAAAGGAAAAACAAAATTCTGAAGGCTTAATTTTAAAGAAAGAGCCAAAATATACCGTATACAAACTTATTTACGCTGATTTGTAATATATTCGATTCGGATAATTTATCATGGAAACTATGATTTGAACTCCGCCTTAAAAATGTTCTTTGGGATTTTATGGTAAATCGGCAAATTGATTTTTTAAAAAACCCGGGAGAAACACCGGACGATTCGGGAAACTCGTGGCGGGTAATTTTGAACACGCTCAAAATTTATAATCAACTCGAGAAACTCGTTGACAATTTTGCGTCCACGAGTATGCAACAAGTTTGCTACAAAATACCACAAGAGTTTACAGAGTTGATTACCAATTTGTGGTGTTGGAATTCTGTACAGTTTTTCCAAGCGGTATTACGAAGCTAAAACTCGCGGAAAATGTTGTATTGTACTCGTAAAGAACTGGTACGTCACGAGTGCGTCACGTCCGGTACATCACGAGTTGATATCTCAGAAAAACTTGTACATGACTCGGGGCAATTCGTAATTCATGCGTTGGAATAATTCATACTAGTAAACACAAACATAACTATACTCGTTTTAACTATGGACTCGTACAAAATTGACGGCTGCCTATTAGACCACAAGTGTCCGCGAATCTTCGTGTGACTCTTGGACAAGAGAACTATTTCATTACGTGAGCAATTGGAATCTCTCTTAACTTATTTATCAAACCACTTTACTATTGTCTTGAAGTCTCTTGCATAAAAACGATTATGAATTCATTAACATTCATCAGCTACTTCTATGCCATTTTACGCCAGCCTCAACAAAAAGGCCATTCCATTATTTTAGAGTTTTGTGAAAAAAAAAGGTTGACAATTTCTAATTAGTGCACGCAATACAGCTTCATCACGCATAACTCGGCCTGCGCGGGCTTCATCAAGGTTACGCGTCTGCTGTCGCAGGTGCTTCGTCACGTACACGCGATGCATCTTCTCGTCTACATGGTGTGTTCACTCATAACGCGGTGGTACAGTGCCGGTACATTTGACGTAATACTGTTATACCACATGGTTATATTCACAAAACCAAATTCAATAATGAGCACATATCAAATCCGTTTTCTCACGATTTCCGCTTGACAGTGGTTGATGACTTTTGCGTAACTGTAACACATTTGTTTTGCTTACACTCCTGTAAAAACAACCAAAGTTAATGTTAATGTAAGTCTAATTGCTCCACAAGACAAAGTAAACCCACATCAATCAAAAATTAATTGCCCATTTTGAATAATCACAAACTTTGATCTTCTTAAATGAGAAATCCGTTTTCATTTCGTTTTCATTCCAGATGTTTCACACTGTACATCTTTAATAAAAGCCGTCTTCCTTCCTGAAAATTGATTTGTAATAGGCCGAAAATAAATCGGGATAACGGACACATTTCCCTCCCAAATTACAACCAAAGTTATCGTTAATTTAAGTCTAATTGTTCCACAATATAAAGTAAACCCACATCAATCAGAAATTAATTGCCCATTTGAATAATCACAAACTTTTATCTTCTTAAATGAGCAATCCATTTTCATTTTGTTTTCATTCCAGATGTTTCACACTGTACATCTTTAATAAAAGCCGTCTTCCTTCCTGAAAATTGATTTGTAATAGGCCGAAAATAAATCGGGATAACGGACACATTTCCCTCCCAAATTATTAAAGTACAAACAAATAGGTTACTACAGTGGTGCGATACTGTGTGAGAATAAATAGAAGCCCGAAGAACATAAAACTACACCTCCTTGTAATCTTCACACAGATTTCATAAATTTAATATTTCTTTAAAAACAATTTAAATCAACTTTTTTTTTCATCTTACCATGTTATTCCCACACGAGGTTCCATCAAGTACTTTTCGGAAAATGCGACACGAGCCGTCTTTTCGCATACACACTAGTTTTTCACAATTACGAGAATTCTGATAAATAAAAACGTGAATTAATGAATATTTTAAAAAAACTAAACAAAGTAACAAAAAATCTCTACAACTGAATCTATCCTTCCACCCATCAAGTGTCCGACATTCTGTGGCCACCATGGCAGCAAAAATCCATAAACCAGACACCCTACTTTGCACCAAAACATATAGCATCTGGTTTGAACCAACATAGCGAAAATTCACAGAAAACCTCGAATGTAATAGGGTTTTATTTTTCTACATCAACACCTCAAAAACAAATAAGCGAAATAAAACATAACGGTTGTAGCAGAATATCATAGAAGATGCAATGAGAAATAGGCATTTTATTCGTCATCTTAGTATGTTTGTATGTTTGCTGTACTCACTTCTTTAAACATTTTATAACCAGATCCAAATTCTTGACGGCACAGGTCGGTCCGACTTAACCCTCTACCAGGTAATGTTGGTGGTGCTGTTAATCTTAAAGTCCGTAGATGAGGGCGGTCTTTCAAGCATGAAGATTGGCTGTAAAGATAAATGAGACAGTGGAGACCGTTTGTGGAAAACAATTACTAGATTTATTTTTTGTTCATGTTGCCTTGGACACACTTAACTTCTCTTAGAAGTTAACAAGACCGAATTAGATTATACAAAGAAACACAATTTGAACAAATTGTGGAGTTTATCTGTTCTAGAGAAAGATGTTAATATGACACAAAATCTAGATAAATTTAATATAAGAGAGCGCCTGCTAGTAGTGTGAAATAGTGAATATTTATTGCCGGTCATCAATCAAAACTCCAATGTAACTCGTCATGTCAGTGAGGCATCATGCCTACAAAATGTTACGTCTACGTTGAGAACGGAATATAATTATATGCTACCTTGTTGATAAGAATTTCTTCAAACTTTTATTGCTACAACTGGACCACTGGAACGAAGTAGATCTTATAGTTGACGACATGACACTGAATTCGTTGTCACCACAGTTTTCATCGTCGTCATGCCCCATAGATAACCTATATGAACATCATATTGATAATAGAGATTAAGTTTACTTAAATGGTATTTGTCAAATGTTTACGGGTTCATTAATATTCATTAACAGCTAAAGAGGAAATAAGCGATCGCATCACGATAGTTGCCCAGATAAACATTAACTAAAAGCACTTGGTGATTGGGTCAATTTGTCGAATTCCATGTTGAACATTCGCTTTTGTCATTTGGCAAGATATTTATCTGCTTGTCTATTTGACCACGAGTACAGTATTATGGATACTTGGTTGAATGTGAGAATTGAATACAGTTTGTTTACAGCATGTAAAATAGACATGTATCGAATACTCTGTTTAGAATATGTTGAAGCAAAATGTGCAAACAATGAAGAATGGCTTACAAATGGCCAATCTCGTGCGCAACTATACTCGCAGTGTTTGAACCTTGGTCTTGCACGATCGTACAACTGTCGGCACACATTCTACCGATGTGACTGTGACCCTCTGTAGATCAAAAAACAACAAAACACAATTAACTACATTTGGTTAATTTATTTAATATGAACAATAACACAAACATACATTTTGGAAAACCAATCATAATTGGATCTTGAAAACTCGTGTAGAGCCGAAAATGAAACAGAAACACTATTTTAATAATGGATCGAGGATTATGGTGGAAATAGTACAGAGTAGTTGACATATTCATCTGAACCCAATGAGTTAATTCTATAGGGCCTGAATAGAATAGCCTTAACTGACGCTGCGCGTCTTAAACGGCGGTAGTGGCACTTTCATCACTTCTTATTTCTACCCCTCCTAATATAGGCTATACTCCTACTTGTGGAGTCCTTAGGAGGTCGGCTTTATCAATTGCAGGACCATATACCCGTGCCTGTAATCAACGTTAACAGAAGTAACTTACCAAAAGATTCAAATGATTTTCTTGTGAGGTAAACAATCGCATCACTATGCTTAGGATTTGTTCTTGGTTTCGGATTCATCCTTCTCCTGTAGTCACAGACTGTAGCCAAGAGCTCAGATTTATTCTCAGATGGGAACTTTTTCGACTAAAATGAAAGAATATCATTAGATAATGTAAGCATACCTATGTTCAGCTGCTTTACATTAGTTTGAAACTATAGCAACACTCAAAAGCATTTGTAAACGTACCTTAGATTTACTGAGTTTAATGATGTCCGTTATATATACTGTGATGTCAAACGTGAGGGAAGGGTGTTGGAATGCTTCATTTACCTACAGATAGATGTGAAATGCATCAGACAGGAGTTAAATGCGGGCATAATGATTCATAACACATCCTGGCAAATCCAGTATTATTCGCATAAGACGTGACAGTTTCGACAGAATATTGTTTGTTTTAAACACTATGATAAAATAGAATCGAATTACCTACCCGAGCCATCATCATGACAATGTAGTTTTGTATGAACTTTTTCCCAACAACTCTCACCACAGAATTGTCTAGTAATAGCATCGTTTCGATATAATACCGCGGACGTCTTGGAGATGAGCGGGCTCGCCGGCGATATCTTGACAACTTTTCCACTAAAGGATGAAAAAAGATGACAATTGGTAAAATACTAGGACTAAAAGAGGAGCATTCTCAAGTGCTTATACAAAAATTTGGTGATCATTAAGTGTATAATAGAAGTTAAAAAATGTAAAAAAAAAAAAAAATCGCTCTCAAATCTCGTTCTCATTCTTGTAATTGCCAGAATTAATTATTTAGGCTCATATAGGCCTATGTCGTAGACTTGAAGACCATACGTTGAAGGAGATTTAAAGCAGTTTAGTTAAACAGTTATATCAATAGGTCCATGGTTATATACTGCAGTCAAGTAGTCACTCTTATCGTTACAATATTTTTGGTGATCTATACCATTGCGTACTTTGAGAATAAAGAATATTGTCTACGGTAGTTGAAGTATATAACTTAGGATACAACAATCAATCAAAACGAAATCATCGCACAACAGGATTAAACATATTCATTCAAATATAAAAGAGCATGTAAACTTACGGTACCAGATGGCGTTTCTGAGAAACTTAAATTGCTTTCAATATTTACATAAATATTTTCATTTAGGCCTATGTCACATGTTATTTAAGACACTTGTCAAATATTGGAATGCACATATTCATAATAACATTGATTGGAATAAGAATGACAAAACAAGGAAGTAAACATTTAGACACAAAGGCAATAACAAGCAAGAAATAATAAAAGGTAGATAAGTACCCTCAGAAGACTGTAATTGCCGTTGGTTATCGAATGTTCTCCGGTAGAAAATGTGACGTTTACCCATTGATTTCGAATTGCTGTCAGTAGTGAATTGTAACTTCGGTTCTATAGCATATTCTGTTTTGTTGAAGGATATTAACCCGGTCTGTAAAAAAGTCAATAAAGAATACTATACTTCATGCCTATTTATACGATGCTCTTTTAAAGTTGAATTGTGGGAATAAGACGGGTAATGCCCATTTCAACCTAATAGAGCTTCTATGCTGGAGCTTTTGACTTTACAAATTTCAACTTAGGCAATATTATTGTCAACAGCTTAACTCACCAAAACTCCTTCGCAGCTACTAATGGACAAATGCGATTCTGGGTAATTTATCACGTGCCCAACATGAAAACAGGAGGAATCGAACGGTTCGTCGATGACGTCGCCATTATCCTCTGCGACACGTATGTCTGGTGACATTATAAGATTTATGTCGTAAGACATGTCAAGTATCAATCGCAAGGGGTGATTATCAATATTCAAATCCAACGTAACGTGGTCAGCCGATTCATCGTTCACAAATGATCGTTTGGCGCGTGCATGGTGGTCTGCAAATGAAAGGTCATGACTAACGAACCTGCCGTCTGACGTCGAACGGAATGGTTGGACGTATGCAAAGTCTGTCACACCTGTAATGAGAAATAATCCCCCAAAATCAAGCCAAACAATGATATTACATATATAATACCGTTTGACTCTACACATCTATATAACGTAGACTAGTTTTGGATATTTTGTTTTTGTTAGCTTAAATTCTATATTTGATTTTAATCTTGTACCTTTGTTTGTACTTGCACTAAACACTTAATCTATGTTCCCCGATTCAGCCGATTTGACGTAAGAGAGTTTATTTAAAAGATAACAGTTAAATTTAATAAATTAAATTGTTCGGATGAAATACCGTATATTGTTTATAAGGTTTATCCTCGTTTAAGCTTTATGAAGACAGTTCATTGCAAGTTTGTACCATATTGTGTGTCTTTGTATATGTTCATATATACGCGTACGTAGTACGTATGTATATATAGAAATGTCAAACCTACCTTGTTGATGAATGTTCGTCTGTAACGGAATTGTGTTTGCTTGTACAACTGTCTGCAAGAGTATATATACATAAAATGCAAATCAAAATTAATGTATATTTTGTAATTTTCAACACCGAATTGATAAACCACACAATCAATGGAGTAAAATCATGACAAAATAAAATTTGTATTTCCACAATCTGTAGTTGTAGCGCGTAAACAATTACTCGTCTATAGGGCTATATTCGTCTACTCGCACCAGTTATGATGCAGTAAATTTTAACTTTATAAACTGTGACCTAAAATTACGGTAATATACAGAATGTCATAAAGCCCATCCTTCATGCTTCCAAACGTAATGGGGAGAAGTCATAAATGTGAATTACCCCCTCTATAGCTGACAAACTCTAATCGCTCATACCAATAACTTTTAATGACATCATAACAATCATGAATAACGTCGAACTACAGATAAATTACAAAAACAGAAAATTATGAGCGTATGTCGGACGTAAAAATGTGTAAAATAGGTTCCTCAAATCGACATAGTCATACTTAACATTTTCCATAACTGGACTCTCTTTTTAAAAAATGCATTTTTAATATGGTTTTCAAGAGAGAGGAGAGTGTGTCAAAATAAAAGTTATAAAATCAATAGGCCTATTATACAAAATATTTCACGGTCATTATAAATCTTTCACTACTGTCGGTTAGAGCACAGTTGTGGTTACTTTTGAACTTTTTAAATATTTAAAATACTTTTAAAAATTAACGTGAGTTGATTAACCTGCTATTGTATTTGTCAATTACTCAGAAGTATGTATACATAAATGGCTTCAGAACAGTTTATTTTTGAATAAGAGCGGTAATTACCTAGTTGAGATTTGTGTGCGATTCATTACATCCGTCAATGACGTCAATGCAACCCAAAAAATATATTAATATATTCAAACGACGTAGATCAATATTGAAAACAGCACCTAATAAAAATCCTACTCGAACAGTACTATATTTTACTATAATCAGACAAATAAATGACATACGTTATAGTACCTACCTACATGGTGGAGTTTGGAACTCAAAATTCATCCCTAATAATGCCTCTCAATTTATATTACTATCTCTGCGGGCGCACACATTTAGAAGTGCATGTCTGAATTTACAGCGCAGTGTTCAACTGTAAGGTTATTATATTCAGACACGTTAAAAATCATAGATAATAATCTGAGTTATTAAACCAATCAGAAAGCTGATAGTTAAACCGTTGGGCCAAGAATAGCCGACAGAGATACTCTGCAGCGGACTGACAAGATCATCATGCCGATACAAAATGCCCGTTATTTGAAGACGGGAAGATGGAGTAGGTGCACAGCGGGTGATAATTTCACACTTATTACTTAAAATATAGGCCCGGTGGTTTAGCACGTCCTGAACATCTCGGCCTATTGCCGAATTCCCCAGACATCTGATGCTTATTTTTCCTACATGAGTTTTACTATTCAGCAACAATTATCAAACAAAAACTTTAATTAGGCCTACATATTGATTAAAATACCGAAAGCATTCACTGAAAATCTAATTACGCCACAGGATTTGAAGAATTTCTTACAACAGGTAACTAACGGAAAATTGTATTTATGAAGACGAACCTTAAGCATCGAATTTGCACTCTTTATAACTAGATAACATGCTGGTTTTGAATACTATTCTATTTGTTCAACAAAGATGGTCTATTTCAAGTATTCAGTACCCCTTTCTTTTGCCGGAGAACATCATCTGCGATCTTAAGTGGATCGCAGTTGGTGCCACAGAAGCCCAAGGGCAGTTGATTAGCAATATTTATATTAGAAATCCGGATTTGGAATTTCCAAGGCATGCGCAAATCAAACTCAGACAAAAACTTACTAAATTAACTATCTTGAATTACCAACCTCTTGATTGATATATTTATAAAATAAAATGGTAATATAAGCTCAGTCTGAAATTGAATACAGAATGATCTATGCTATTATACACAGTGCTAATATGGAACACAAGGTAAAAAATCATTTATCTCTTGTCATTTCTAAAATATAAAGTACCAGCTTCAAGACAATATTGATGGCTTATGTAAAAAAAAAACCCCAATAGAAAATAAGTTATACTAGAATATAACTTAATTGATTTAAACTATATTCATTTGCCCGTTTGATGCATACACCATTTTAAAAAATAAAATACAGTAGCATATCATAATTAATATTAATTATCTTATCCGATTTGGAG